TCTTTCTTTCTTGCTGTGATCTTCATCCTCGAGAAAGCACAAAAATTTCTGGACCTTTTTGGCACTCTTGACGATGCCAACTACCCTGGGTTCTTGTATTTGAATGACCACTTCATCTCCAGTGAATGCCTTCCCCGTGTTTGTTCTTCCCTGGATGCTTATCCGTCTGTTGGAGCCATGAAACGGAACGACATAACCAGTTGAATATGACTGCCGGACAAACTTTCCTCGCTCGAACATCTTTGGATGTTTGGAACATAAATCCAAGAGATCTGTCTGGTCTACATTGCCTCTGTGCCTCTGGGGATTCAACTCCTCCACATTGTCCTCATCTGAACTGGATTCTGTCCCTGACTTTTCATATTCATCTCTCAGCTCCTGTAGAATCGCATCATTAACAGTTTCTGTTTCATCCACAACTTCAGTCTTTTGAAACTTTGCAATTTCCATAACATCTTTTTCAAAGAAGTCTTTTGTGTAATGCTGTGGTACGACGTTCTTATTGGCGATGCAGTGGTCCATGAAGCTCTTCCAGATTCCCGAGCATTTCCCAAAGCAACAGAGGGCGGCGGCATCTCCAACTACGATCACCTGGGACTGAGCCCTGGTCATTGCAGTGTTTAAAACTCTGGGATCGTTGAAAAGCGGCAGACCGGGCAAATGCGACTCCTGAAGGCTGTCACGCGTTTGCACAGCAGTTATTATAACTGCCCTGAACTGTTTTCCTGCCAACACAGAGGGGGAGTTTCATCATGCAAATGACAGTGATGTCAAAGACACAGATACCGTTTCCTTATTACGGTGGCTGAGAAGTGCAAAACACATTTACAATTAAAAAAAAACGTTGAAAAATTAAAAAACAAAATAACATTGTAAGATACGCATTCACAATTAAAGAAACACATCCATCCATTTTGTGAACTGCTTATTCCCAAATCGTTGACATGAACAAATGAAAAAACAATATACCATTTTAAGAAACAAATTCATTTTTTTGGAGACAAACATTTTAGAAAAAAATTGTTTCTTAAAATGTTATGTTTTTTAAATTTGTAAATGTGTTCTGAACTTTAAATGTGTATCCTAAAATTGTATTTAGCTTTTTTAAATCATAAGGTGTTTTTTAAATTGTAAATGTGTTTTGCACTTCTCAGCCACCGTACTTTATAGCTAATACATTGGAAAACGATGCAGGGATGACTGAAGCTAGATTAAAATCACCTTGCACATTCGAAATGGTTTCAACATTGACTTCAGAGAGGCTTCTTGGAAGTGCCATTCGTATCTGTCGAACCTGTTAAACAAAACAAAGAACTGAGATCCGTTAACCAGTTAACCAGTCTGACAATGTGCTCTAAATGTATAGCCAAGATTCAAAGGGATGGCATGTGTTAAAACAGGCTTGGGAGCACACACTTAATGTACGTTTTTCATCACTATCAACACCATCAAAGCATTAAAGTGATTGGCTTCTCTGTTTGGTAGTGCACC